CTTTCAAAATACACTCAAACAACATTATTATTATTATTATTATTATTATTATTATTAGTAGTAGTAGTAGTAGTAGTAGTAGTAGTAGTAGTAGTAGTAGTAATTGTATTGCCATGAGAATATCATTATTTTACTACAGGTCTAATCAATTTTTTGCACACATCATTCAAAATTATTCCAAAACCTATTTTTTTTTATGTTTGTTTGGCAGTATGTTTGGCAACTGCAGTTTAGTGCTTTAGTTTCTGCCCTGTCTTCTATTTCAGACCAACTAAAGCATTAGAATAAGCTCATTGTACCTGGATTTGATACCCTCTGGAAGCATTCTGGCACAAAAGCCTACCATTCTTATTCTACTCAGTCTTTTGGGGAGTAGTTCTGCACCAAGAAGGAGTTGTGCATAATCCTGCTGTCCTGGCAGGGCTTGAAAGGCTGAGTAGAGCTCCTGAGCAGATTCTCTTAGAAACAAAGGAAGTCATAAGGAGTTCCCTGGTCTGTCTTCTTCCTTCCCCTTCCCCTTCCCCTTCCCATTCCCCTCCCCTCCCCGGCACCCAGTGTCTTTTCCTGTGCTGTGTTTCCCTCTGTCTGGATGTGTTTGACTCAAAACTGGGTTGATCTGATGGAGAATGTAATGAGCATTTATTTTCTCATTCGCTCACTCAGACATTGTCTCACTCCTATGTCTTTCATACAACTGGCTTTAACTATTTTTCCATGTTAGAACGGTGCCCTGAGGCACAGATGCACATGAAATCAATTTCTTTAGGAGCATCAAGAACCATTATCCTAGATGTCCATAGGTTTTAGGTACTTTCAATAGATTCATGTTTAAACTATACACACAGGTGTCAGTGGAAGTTGTAGTATAGGCTGTATTTTAACATTTTGCACTAAAATACTTGATTGTCTTTTTGCCCAACTAGCTTCATTCAAACAGGCACATGCCACTGGATGCTCTGATACCTGAGATACTTCATTGCAAAGGGAGGATACATTTCCTTTCAATTAGGACAATATTTCAGCAAATCAACATAAGCACAAATCCGAAATACATTCGTAAATCTGTACACTGTTTAGAAAATTAATAATAAAATACTATCTGTTTTTAAAAGTATGAGCAGCAATTGGTTTCTTTCTTTAGCTTTAGATTATTTTATTTATAGGTCTACGTGTAGATTCATATAGAAACATTTTTCAAACTCTGTGCTTTTAGAATTGCAAAAGAAGGATGAATCAAGTATCTCCTTATGTTATCCCACTTTTGGAATTACAGACAATCCTCTGGAAGGTTCCCTGGCTTCTGAAATTACTTTGCTTTATGTCACCCTTATACTGATATGTGTATTTGGTAGAGCTTAGACTGTTTTCTGTAACATGCTAAGGTTCATGTGCAAATGTCAGCACACACACCTACACCCACCACATGAGATCTCAAAGGAAAAGACCTAGTGGGGTTCTTAGGTGTATGCCTAAATTAAGGAAGACTATAAATCAGAGCAGGGAATCATTATTATAGCAAATCAGGGAATGATTATTATATCCTTATTGTTTAGGCAAACACATTTTAGGCACATACTTAAATTTCATGGTGAATTGTGGCTGTAGTTTGTTTTATTATTTTTCCAGAATGCCTCAACATTAGAAACATATAAATAGATTCAACTGTACACTCCAGATAGATAGATTCCAGGTTTAAGTAGACAGAGAATGACCATGCTTTGAAGATAGCATATGGATTTTTAAATTACCTGTGAAAGAAGAAATTATTTATTGGGGGGTTTTTTTAAGATTTAACTCAGGATTTCTTAAATTTACATTTATTATTTAGAAATGGATGTTTCTCACCTTTCAAGTTGTTTCATAGCTTGTATTTAAATATATAATCAAAGATAGACATACATATATAAGGAATGATAGCAGAAGACAGATATAGGAAGACAGTAAGGAAGTAGGTTTGCAGCCTTGTACAATGCTGACAACTCTTGCTGCTATTGTGAAAGCAAAAACCAATCAACTACCATGCACATCACATTTTATGATACATGGGAAAAGCATTTATTAAATGCCTAAGGAAATATTAACATGCCTTCTGACACTGTAAGATGTAATTAAGAATTTTCAAAAATTTGAAAAAAACCATTTCAAGTCCCATTTTCTTTCCCCTTCTTGAAGCAAAAGAAAAAGAGTTTAGCCACAGCACAGGAAGTTGTGACAGTACTGCTAAGTACAGAGGATTTTATGAACTTTTCCAGTCTACTGCCTTTCTTCATGGAGAAGTGCAAAGGACCAGTTCAGACAGATATATGAGCAGAGGTTGTTTATATTTACAAAGACATTTATAAATACTAACAATGAAGGACTAGATGGCATTCATCCAAGATGAATAAAGGAACTCAAAGGGGCACTTGGTACTTCCTTTTTTCTTATTCTCATGCCATTTCCACAACTGCCACTACAGGATGGACAGGTGCAATAAAACTGCTCATATGTACTTAAAAGGAAGGAATCCTTTCTTCTGTATGATAAGTTTCAGAAAAATAGTATTTGGAGTGGATGGGAGAATATTAAATGGTCCAATGAGCCAGTCAGAACATGATTACACTTTTTTTTTTAAACCTTTAACATCAGCAGCAAAGGAAACTGAGACACTTAAAGGCTTAAAAGGGCAGAAATGTATCATCTAGATCAATCTAATAATAGATATAACAGCACACCAGGAGAGACAGATGAGGAAAAAAGATAGAGTTAACTGGACTCTAATGGATATTTTAAGACTCAGTTTTGTTTAAGAGTCTATAATATGGTCTACAGGGTAAATATTTTAGCACCCAGCTTCAGGCTTTGTCTGCAGTGCATAAGCAAATTCTTAATAATAATTGCAGCAAAATCTAGCCTGCCTTCTTTCACAGATCTTCAGTCAAGTTGCAACAGAGAGAGGCAGTAGAAGTCAAACCCTTCTCTCCACTACAACCTTGCCTCCTCCAGCTGATTGAGTTATCTCACTGTTCCTTCCAAGACTTCTTTTTGTGTCAAATTCCTGGATTACTTGTTGGCCCAGGCAGTCTCTTTTCCATGCTACATCTCTGTTTCCCATGGAAGCATCAATACTGTCAATATCTCCCCAGGCTGTCCATAGGCAAGGCAGGGTGTTGGGAGATAAAAAGCAGGGCAGCACCCTTGCTGTTTAGGAACAGCAGTGTGCACATGAAGAGGCACCTTTGTAATGTCCGTGTCTTTGGCCAGCAATTTTTCCAAAAATCGCCCCACTGGCAAGGAACACAGATTAAGTGACTCCTGTGCCAAACACAGCACACATCAGTGTGTACCGTGTGGAAGAAGCACGTTGGGAATTTGGCACTACTCACAAGCTAAATATGCTCACTGGCATGTCTTCCAAGCAAGACCTTAGCTGGGGCTATATGGTATTTCACATTTTCTTATCAAAGTGTAATCCCCTGGTATTGTGCTGCAAGCACCCGTGATGCTCTTGAAATGAAGCCCTCTGCATTGCTGGTCCTGTTATTGAAAGGGTTAGAGAGCTGTATACACAGCTCTGAGTCCAGGCAAGCAAATCCAAAACCTGATTTGGACACTGTATAGGTAGAGAAGATAATTTTCAAGTATGGAAGGCAGCTGCAGAAGAAGGGTATCCACTGTTAGAAAAGAAAAACAGATTAGGAAGGCATTATTTACACTAGATAAATCAGAAATGGCATCAAAGTGAGCTAGTATTACAAACTATTAATGAAACACATGATAATGAAACAAATCACATAATAGATGACATCAAAGTGATTCAGTGTAATGAATACTGATACCAACTAAGTGAACTGTGGGCTCTGGGGATACAATTTCAAATCCATTCCAGTGAGTGGTAGTACTGTGAGCAGAAAAAAAGAAAGAATTTGAGTGTTCCATTGTTCATACTGACCACATCCACACCTTAAAATAGTTGTCCTTTTGATGACATAAGTAGATAAAAATTATATTTAAAAGTTATATTATCTACCAATGCCAAATATAGGAATTTATTATTTTTTCTTGTGTCAAAGTAACAACTGAGATCTCATGACCCATGATTAGCCAACTGTCCTAATTTCACAGAATAATATGATTAAATAAACATTAATCATGTTAAAAAGACAGCCAGACAGTATTTTATCAACACAGATTACAAACTCATTTATTTCTTATAATTATATAAAGCCCATTGCTGCTACAGAACATGGTAGTATCTCAAGGGTGAAACAAGTCTAAAATTCAGATCTTCAGAAAGATTTTAGATTTTGAAGGTACAAAAGGTGAAGTCTTTGATTGAGAGGAATGCCTTATATAGCTCATATAAAATATTTGTATTTTGATCACACACATTAAACTTCAGGTGGTGTGCAAGTCCTGATTTCATTTCAGACTTGTCTGTATCCTAAATCCTTCCTGAGTCAATTCTGGCACTATCAAAGCCCAGATCAAACATTAATTTGTGCATTTATAGCTAAATACATTTTTTTTTTTAGTGTGCATTTGCAAAAATAACCAGGTCTTTTTTTTGTTTTTCTCTGACCTAAAGGCATTCACACATGTATTGGAAAGCTGGTTTGATAGCTAAGGAGAGGCACTGCAAAAATCATCAAGCTGAGCAGGGAGCTGCCTAAGCCTGCCTAAGCTATTGCAGTGTTACTGATAACAGCCTCTCTTAAGAGACCCTTTGGATCTAAAGGTTCACAGCTGAGGTTCTGGCTCAGCTACAAGATTTTACAATCAAATGTCAGTGAGAGGCTTAGCGACACAGGGTGAACTTCTGAATAACAAGATCCTTATTACGCTCTGTTAGGGTCTTAAGAAAAGCAATATATATTAAGGCTGAAGGGTTGTGCAGTTTGTTTGGAAAATGATTTTGAGAAAATCTAAATTTTAATAAATGTTGAAAATGAAAAAAAAATCATTAAATTAATAATACATACTGACAGATTTGAAATTAATTAAATTTAGTTTACCCACAAATCACTACTGAAACAAAAATATTTGAATATGTTACTACATATGTCTTCCATTATGATTTCTCAGTTCAAGTCCACAGAGTCCTGTTACAGATTTAAGTTTCTGATATCTACATTTCTGTCATGCAAAGTTTTTGAGTGTCTATAATAGGATCAGAATTCTGTGTTCACATTAGACATATTTAATTTACCATGATGTTTTTAATACATTGTTTTGACTTTTCTTCACAATAATTACAATGCCTTTAGAATTGCAAAAGACAAGTAAATCAAATCAGCATGAATTTGGAGAAGCATCACACTTGGAAAGAATCAGAAATCAAGCAGCTGTGGATAAAGCTGCACTGTGGTGAGGCCATCACTTTCATCTTCAGCAAGCCACCTTAAGGGAAAAACATAAAAACCTGTCATAGACACAGCACATACAAAACTTAAGAAACAGACAATTTGTGAGAGCCTGGTTCTGCACCTTTGATTTTTCTAGGTGAGTTTTTATATTGATTATAGAGAAGAAGAAACCAACCTGAAGAAAATAGTTACTTTTAATTTTTTTGTTTTACTACTCACCTCTGTGTAATTTTAAAGTGTAATTCAATTTATTAGTATATTTATGAAATACACATTAATTTTATTTGTTGGTCATATAGGTAACTAGTAAATTGCTCTGAAGAATGACATAAAGTCAGGTTAATTTAGAGTAGGGAAATATTCTTTGATAGCAAGTTATTGTCTTTGTAATTCATTCCAGGAACACTCTCATATCTCTTTCTTGTGCTGAGTTGCATGATGGGCCCAATCCTAGCTCTGTAAGAGTCCATGCAGCTTTTACTGTTGAGTATATGAGAAACAGGCCTGAGTCCAAATTTCAGGTAGACTAATTTTAACTAATTTAACTGAAAACATTAACAGCAGTGGTGTTAATTTCCAAAGAGAGTTAAAAATATTCCATTCCTTGGAAGGTTTATGACAGTCTACCTGATGTGATGTCTATGAAGGGGGTAGTGTGGCAGGGATTCCTAGGCAGTAAGTACAGCATCAAAGTAGCTCACACCTGAAACAGCACCATTCAGCAGCTGGGAGATGTGGCTGAAGATAAACAGGTTCAGGCTGAAACACAACTGATTTTGGCAGCTAAAACTGCATGTGGAAGTCTCAGAGCCTGGGAAAGGTGTGATGTCTAAGCTAGATAAACAAGCATTTAAATGGGTTAGCAAAGGATTCAGGTTTCTCAGTGATTAATATCTTTTAGAGACATTATTTGTGTTGGAGGAATCTTTTTTTATGTGAGAGAATGAGCCCTTTCCCCCCTTCACTCCGTAGGCCATGAGAGGAGAAGCTCCATGAGGAGCTCCATCTCTCATCTGGAAAAGGGCCATGAACTTAGGGTTGCCTCTATCTGAGGAGCCTCTGTATTCTGGGGTTAACCTCCTAATCCCTCCTACTGAATAACTTCCAACTTGAGTAGGCTTCAAGCCTATATACTTGATGGTAGGCACATAGCTCTGCACCCACCGAGGCCTCAGTTAAATGTCCCTGTCAGCAGCATGTAGAATCAATCTGTGCCAGTCACTCCCCCACATCAATGATGTGATTCAAGTTCTTGTGCCCATCTCTCATATACCTTTGAGCTTTTACTATAAGATTTCAAATAAAATTGGAAAAAAAAAAACCCCAAATCTCCAGGAAAAAAAAAAAATGTTTGCTGCAGTCTGTCTTCAAGAATCTTCCTCTGACTGGTGTGGTCTGAGAGCTCTTACAAGCAAAAGAGATGAAGTGGCATCAACCAAAAATCCTGTCATGGATTGTGTTGCACATCTGAGTGATATTGTGTTTTAAGAACTTTTCTTCATGGCCACTAACTTAGAATTAGTTATCTAGAAGATTCGAGAGTATCTGAACATGCCTTTGGAGGAAGTTGAAGCAAGGGAAGTTTAATGTTGTTGGAAGAAGTTTAATATTGTTGAGGTCAGTAACACTCTCACACTTTCATGATTTAGACTGTAGAGATCAACTGAGTATCCAAGAACTTAAAAAGTTACCTTTTATTTTTTACTCAGGGACTGGGATTTGGCTTCCATTAATTGTCAAGTTTACAGAAATATTTAGGGAAAGGATACAATTAGATATTCTTGGCTACCATTTCTGTTTTCAGATTACCAGGTATCATTCCTCTTTCTAGATACAGGGAACTTGTAAATTTTCACACTTCTGTGTTCTCCAGATGCATTGAAAAGCTAATTTCCACTTGGGAGGACATGAATATGTTTGCATCAGTTATTTATTCTGAAATTCTTCAAGCTGTGAACTATATATTGTAGTGAACAGTGTCTGAAAATTTACTCTTCAATTTAATTTCCAGTTTTTGAAGCTGTATTGTTTCAGTTTGATGCAGACTGATGTGAACCTTCTTCTTGACCATCAGAAGCCCTTTACCCAAGAAACCTGGTGCCTAAGTACATTTCTAAGTTTATATCATTATAATTCCAGATTACATTATATAAAGCTTTTTTTCATCTTTGTCCTATTTGCTGAATGTATTTTGGGCCCATACTAAGCAAACATTGAAACAGAAGGATTCTGATGTTTTAATCTTGCCTTTGCTCAATAAAATACACTGCTTCTTCCTCAGGTTTTGAATATATGCAGCCATACTCCACTGTCCTCCTTTCTGATTCCCTTCCATGCCTGTTTGCTTCTTCCTGATATGTTTGCTAGAGCTATTTATGTGCTAATGGTTGTATAGTGGTTCACCAGACACCTTCTAACTCTTAAAAATATATATGAGTACTTTCTCTAGGCAAAGACATTAAATTATGTCTTTCCCTCCTACAATCATCCAGTTTTAATTGCTTGGAAAAAATCTAGTGTCTTCCTCTAAGAATTCTGACAAGTCAGTTTCAAGCTGGCCAAAGCATTCAAAAGTCATTGGGGATGGACTGATAGGAACACAACAGTGTAAAAAAAAATAAAAATAAAAATCATTACTGTCTTAGAAAACCAGACAGAAGCAACTGAGAAACTTGTGAAAAAGAAAACAGCATGTACAGAGTGAAGAGGGACTGATCTACTGACCTGTTACAGTTGAAGCAATGCATTGAATTCCTAGCTGCATCTGTGATTTCCACTTTTTCTAGAAACCAGCCACTTGCTGTAGAAGGAAAGGAAAAAACAAAGAGCAAGTTTACTATAACCAAAACACAAACACAGCATAAGAAAGGTTTCTAATTTCATTTCCCAAACCCCATGGGGTTCAGTACTTCCAAGTATATTCAACATCAATAATAAAATTGAAACACAGATGATTCAAATTACTACCAACTTCTCTCAGTTTTACAGGGAAGGTCTTTGATGTTTTTGACAGAAAATATAATGGATTATTTTTGTTACAACTTAACTTATTTTTCCAGATTGGATAGAACAGGCAGTAAGACAAATGAAATGCATGGTAATATTGAATACGTTCTTGAAAACCCCTTTTTGCCCTTTGAGGTACTTGGAAATGCACTCAAAATGCACCCCTAGTGGACAATCTACTACTCTTTTCTAATTAATATATTGATATGGATGTGAACCAAGTGGTGAAACTAAATGCTTCTCATATCCCTATTTTTCCAGCAGTCACGATTCAGAATAGCATTTTCATTTAGGCCAGCACTCATATTCATTTCAGCTTTAAGAAAATAAGTATTCTACTTTAATCTCCTATTTTGTGGTGTGAAGAAGTACCTTCATTCTTGTGATGTAGAATTTTATTTCATAGAATATTAAAAGATTAATATTTTTAAATCAAAACTTTATTTTATATGTCAATGTCTATGCTGATGTCTTTAGTTGTGTTTGCCAGTGCAAATACTTAATGACAACATTTTAAAACTAAATAGGATCATACTGTTAGTAGGTGACAATCTTTTGGCATTCTTTATGCATCCTAGAGATAAAGAACTATATCCTATCTAATTATTTTGGTTTTCAAATATTTGGACGAAGTACTAAGTAGTCGAAAACCACTAAAAATATATTTATTTGTAAATGCTAAATTTTAATTGTACATGCTGAAAATGTAATGTAAAAGTATTTGCAAATTGTGTCATTTTGGATAAAATGTAAAGGTACAGCAATGTTTGTTATTTTTCAATGACATTTTCAAAATAATAGCTGGATTAAGTAGGCCATGAAGGTGTCTGGGTATTCCACCTTCAATTCACAAGATTCTTTTATTGATATTGTGAAGTACCTTTGAAACTCTTTTAATGAAATCTTGTGAATGGTTTAATATATCAAAGACTCCACTTGGAATAGATGACCTTTCATGAAATCACTAAATCAGAGTCAAGATTATCAGCAATAAAATTTTACAGTCTCTCAAATTTACACGACACTTTACAAAAGAGTAGAAAGGCAAGTTTGCACTCTTGAAAAGATTAAAAACTAACACTTCATCCTTTATTGACAAAACTCCAACACACCTCACTGAAATCTCCAGGTATGGAGAAATCTAGAGGTATCTAGCATATATTAGCAAACAGATGAAACATCTCAAAGAGATGTAACATTTGAGGAAGCTTGTGGGGATAACAGCTGATGTGACAAAAGACACTTGGAGGTAATTTCAGAGAAATATTTAGAGGAAGGTTGTCATATCTAAGGTGAATCAACACCCACCAGCTGTTCTAGGAAGGTACTATTAGCACCTATGTGATGTTGATCAGGACAAAGAGAGGAAAAATAGTAACTTTATTGATAGATCAGGACCCAGGAACTAAAAGGTCAGTCTATTATTTCCCCTGCAGACTTCTGTGCAACTCTCAGTACCAAAAGTCTGCCATTGTGGAATTCCCTTCCCAGATCAGATCTAAGCTGAACTGTGTGCATGTATAGAAGTTATCACAAATAAGATGAAGGTCAGCAGGACAATCTTGTTTACTATAGATATTTCAACAGGTTGGTGTTTTATTCTGTTTTCAACACCATGAAATATACAACTTGATTGGGTAGTAAGGAAAATAAAAAAGCTGTTCAACATTGTCCAAATAGGAATTGCTATTTGCAGAGTTTTTCTTGATTCATCCTAGAAATGATAAACCCTTTGGCACTTTATTATGCTTCATGAACTTAGATTAATCAGATTTTATTAAACCTAAACCTATTTCTTTGAGATGGGTTAAACAAACTTCACCTGACTAGAGTATCTTAATACAATCAGACCTTTTTGATTCAAGTTATATATTCCCTGCAAATTCAGTTTGTGCATTTGTATATCTCTGTATGTCTGCATATATGTTGATATCTGCATATCCCTAGGGGGTTTTAGCACTATTAAATGTAAGCTCAAAAGATTATATGCCCTAGCCTCCCATTTTATTTTTATGTAAAATTTTAGAGGTTTTAGAGGTTACTGTACACAGAAACATTTTCCATCATCATATGTAGTTTTGTTCTAAAGCCACATTCTCACTTAACATCAGGACAGGACCTGGTGCACTCTGGTGTTCTCAGACTTTCACAAGAGGAGATCTATGGGTGTGAGAGGGAGCTACAGCATGCTTTGACCACAGACCCCAAACTTGCTCAAATCGTGGGAAGTTTAGCTTGCAGTTTGAAAATTCAATCCTATCTTATTTAAAACATCTAATAAGGGCTTTGGCTGAGCAATGTTTGAAGGATAAAACTGTCTGAGGTTTATTTTATTTTATTTTGATTTTTTTTTTTTTAACTAGATCACTGGTAGGAAAAAAATATCATGGTATAGTCAAGGGAAATGTGATGGTGTGAAAAGAAGGGCAGTAAAGCTGACCTCATTTGTACACAGATTTGCATTAGCTAGCTGTAGCTGTACTATGACTTCAAACACCTTTCCAAATGTGAGGTAGATCCTTAAGCAGAAGATGTTTGCAAGGCTACTGAACACAGAATACTTACCAAATCCTTTCCCATCGTGGCCAATCTCAATTGAACGTAGGCTGCCTAATTTTTTCGTCTTAATCTTGAATGTGTCAACCTTTAATATTAAAATACAGTTATTAAAAATATTATGCCAATGTTTGGAAGCTTACATATTTGTCTAGGTCAGTTCTGAGACCAATTCAAGTGTAATGGTAGAAATTCAGAATAAGTGAACCACTAATGTGGTTTATTTTCCTTACTAATGATGTGTGGCATAGATCCTCTCCTATTAGGTCTCAGTTTCAACACAAGAGATTCACTTTTCCTCTTATAGTATGACAATCCCTACCTCTTTCTTGACTTTCATTTACTGTGAAAATATTTTTAGTCTCATGAATCCTCAACTGGTAGTCTTCTAAAATATTTTTAGTATGTGATATGTAAATAAAAATTCAGAAACATAAAAGTTAAAGGTTTTTACTACATTAACTATTATTCCTCTCAAATATGATGTACTTTAATTTAAAATATTACCTTGTTTCATATTGTAGATTTTTAAAAAGAATTTATTTTTTTTCCAAAGGCCTTTGACATCACTGGCTACCCATTAGCTGGACTGGTAATGGGATTTCTATGAATCTATTCTTCTTCTTTGTAGGGTAATGAAACCTCCTGTGTAGTACCAGCAAAAGGAAGTACTACCCTAGACACTTTTTTACTTGCTGCTTGTGCATGTAGGTAACTAGATTTATTATCCTCCTCAGCATGGAAGACAATTCATGGGTAAATATCTTTATTTCACAGATAACCTGGCTGAAGAAATTCAGACTAATTCCAGATAAAAAGATGATTAATATTGCTGGAGATAATGAGGTAGATCTCTTAAGGGATATATTTTCACTGGAGTTCTAATTATTTAGTCATTACCTTTCAATTACTCCAGAAGAGAAAGTTACAGAGAATATATATATTTCTTTTTTACTTAAGGGTAACCATCATTGTACCCATTGCATGGGTGGTGACCAAACAGCAATTTCTTTGCCAGAATAATATGTTTATTAAATTAGGAGAACATCCAGCCAAAGTACTATGACATCATGCAGAGAATCTACATTCTTATGCAAATATCTGTATCTGAACTAAGGGTCTCTGAATAGCAGCCTAAAGCATGATGGATATCAGAATCAGGCTGATGTGTATGGTTCCATTTCATCTGCTTTTAGGCTTATACAGTCAGGGATGCTCACAGCACCAGTTTCCATGGCAAAGTGAAATGATGGGATGTAAGAACTGATGCGTTCTCACGCACGATATCTGAGGTGTGTGCAAGAGCACAGAGCAGCACTCACACGTGTGCATGCAACACACACTGTGCTTTTCAGAGTGAGGAAACACATCACTGGCACCTAGGTGGATGCAATATGAAGATGTATTTGGGACTAAGAGGCAGAAGAGCAGCAGAGACAGCTAGATACAGTAGGAGTAAAATGTTCCTTGGTGAATCTGGTGAAAAGAAGAAACACAGGGCGAACTGAGACTATACTTCATGTAGTGATGTGGAAAACAGAATAAATGCCTCAAGTTTTCTAAATAACTTGTGTAGATTTAATGTTTGCTTTTCCAGTACAGAAATGGACACAATCTGTAAAATCTGTGTACTCACCTTTCCTCTTTCAAAGGGGTTTTGATGCTCCAGTGACTGAGAGAGTTGAAATACCTCAGATTTTTCCTCACTCCCACATAAAATAATATGCACATTGGCATCAGTCCCTGCTCCCCTTTTGTCACCTGTGTACACTTTAATAGTATACTCTGTCAATTTTTTTACTTGACTTTCTTCTTTATTCAGGTTGTTATCTATGCCATTTTTTTGTTTCTCTCCTCTGAAAACAAAAGATCCCAGGATTTCTCTCTGTATTTTGGGCTTATTTGCATTCACAGAAAATTCTCTGAAAAACAGAACCACATTATTTTTTTTTTTGCATGTAAATAATATGTTAAATTAAAACAATCCTATGAATTTATGTGGAACAGCTAAAGATGGGCATATTTTTAAAATATCTATTGACAGAATCACTCTATGGAAGTTACTTTAATTCAGTGTCTGCTCAGTGCTTTCAACCATCATGCTATGAAAAAAACCAAAATTACTAGCTTTACAGAATATACTTACTCATTCACTTCAAATACATAGATGGGATGGTCCTTTGCGGCTTCTTGCACATGCAATTTTTTAATGCCCAGTTTGCAGTCTGCAAAGAAGGAAAGAGAATATAGTGAAAATGTTCCACTGCGTGACAAGAAATTAGATAGTGTAGTTCATATAATGGCATTCTTATTATATGAAAACTTCATTTTTTTTATTAATTTATGAATCCAAACAACTGAGTTGAAAGCGTTGGAACAACTACAAGATTATTTATTTTGTTCCTATTTGTAAACCTCAACTTAGAAATTTAGGAGTAAGCATTTCCTTTGTTTTAGTGAAGCAAAGGAGTGTTGTCCTCACTGTCTGGACAGGCATGCAGAAAAGATTCAGCATGACTCGGGCAGGCACATTTGAGAAGGAAGAGCAGAAATACACATCTGTTACTTCCTTCTCAGTGCCAGGTTGACAAGAGGATTGGAACACAAAGAGCATCTCATTAAGTGGCAGGTAGGAAGGGAGTTCAGCAGCTCACAATATCCCTCTGCTGTTTGGGAAAGATTGCTCTCTGACTTAAACTCCTTTCTGAATTTTCTGCTGGGGTTTGCATGGCCTGAGTGTCTTGCCACTAGTTAGTCATGAAGACTATTCATTTTCCCTTCTCTTCTATTATTTGTAGCTTCAGCCCTGTTCAACAAACTGAATTCCAATCTCTTCTACTATCCAACTCCCTTTAATTACATCAATAGGATATAACCAGGCTTCTGTGGAGGAATCCAGGACATTGTGTTACGCTTGTGACCTGTCAAGATAAGTGCATAGGGAGTCAGAAGTTTCAGGAAGGGACCGTGAGCCATCTCATCTTAAAAATTTGCTCTGATAAGAATGAAAGCATAAATGCACTAGAGAACATTTCCTGGACTGATCAGTCCTGCAGGGTACATCTGACTTCAAAGAGATTTTATGGGGCTTGGGATTTTTGGTTCAAAGCCTTGGTCCAAACTAGTCTGAGTGCAAACAAATCTAGTTACAATATGGATAGCCTTACTCATCTGAAGTGTTTTATCATCTAAGTAACTCCTTTGAAAGAAATATCTGCTATATATCACCCCAATCCTCTCTTCACAACACACACAGAGGCGAGGAGCCCAGTGTCCCTCCTTTGTGAGTTGTGTTTCCAAACCTGAGTGGAAAAGTCTTGCCTGTCACTCTCTCCGTGGTGCCCTTTGGCTCCACACACCACATGCAGCAGCTGTCAGTCAGACTGACGGCTGTAGTTAACTTTCACAACTGAAGATGTGGGAAACAAAAGCAGTGAGCTACACACCTTGCTCCCTGCAGCAGCGTGGCAGGGCTGTCCCTCTCCTTCCCTTCCCCTCTAGAGTAACCCTAACACCATATCCCCCTGGGAATGACCACAGCAGCCTGTGCCGGGGTGTGGGATGTGTTGACCAGCCAAGGAGTTTGCCCAATGTCACCTTACACACTTGGCTGAAGTCGGGTGCCGTGCCTAAATCGTTTTTATGAGGCGCCTCCAGATGAGCAAACAAACAACAAAAGACAAAGTGCAAAAGATAAAGTGCAAACATAGAACCCTTGTTTCCCTAGAAATCTGCAAATGGTTAAGTAATGTTTTGCAATTCTATAGCAAATTTCATTAACAGATTTCAAAAAATGATATAATTAATTCTTTGAGTAAATAGCATGATGGGCATCCTACAGATATAGCAGAGAGATGTTGAGGTCAAGACAATTCTAAGGAAGTTCAGAGACAAAACTTAACTGACTGTTAAGCAGAGATAAAATTTCCCTCTGAATGTCACAGGGAGAAAACAGAATTGGGGGAAAAAAAACAGTGATAAAAATTGAATCACAGAAGGAAAATTAAACAATACCTGTTTCTTACTGGAGTTATAATTATTCTCCTAGATAACTTATTAGTAGAACATGTATTAAGTGCAGAATATAATTATATTCATCTAAATTTTCTGTTATTTTTTCTTGTATGCAAGGGAATAGTTTACTTTCCTGATGCAATAACATTCTAACCTTTAGATACCAGGATTTTAATTTGTCAAAATGCAGGATTTTGCTTTATAAAACACTACCCTTTAGAAAAAAAAAGCCAAAAGGAATTAATTAGGATTTAACTCTGCCAGTGACTTTGTTGTCTTTAACAGGAGGCTAGCACTGTAATTTACATGGCTGACTGTAGAAAGTAAAAAGTATTTTACCTGTTTTACTGCTGATCAAAAGAACAATTTTTTCCAGTTCTCCCAAGTCAACAGCCTCCATGATAATGAGAAATGACTAAAATAAAATTATTCAGAGTTGTAATATAAAACCATGTTACTTAACATGTAAATGTAATATGTATTATAATATATATATATTATATATATTATATAGAAAATAATATGTAGGAAGGACAAGAATAGATTAAAGGGTAAATTTTAAAATATTTCAAGACAGAGTACCTCGTTTTTCTCTCCCTGCTGTACATTCTGCAATGACTGGAGAAGGGATCTGTCCCCTGTGTCACCACGAGTACCATATATACACACAGTCATATTCACTAAATTTCTCTCATTCAAAATATTTCTTGAAAATACTGTTAGATGATATGTAACCACTGCAATATCAAGCAAAAAGAGATCTTGTTAAGACTGTGCCACAACCTTGTACAGCTGTTTGACAACACAGCTTTCACAGTCAGATGTAATTAAAATTCAAGCACTTGAAATTAATAGAAAAACTCAAAATTTTTGCAATTTTTTTCCTCATAATTGTTTTCCCACCATCTCCCAGATCTGAAATTTGACAAGAGAGGCTGGACTAGTCCAAAACAAAAGTGAAAGGATTTCATTTGGAAGGTATGATTCTCGGATCACTGTGTCAAAGAGCAGCAAGGGTGGACCTGCCCCCCAACAAGAGTGAACAAGGTAGAAGCTGAGCACAACCCAGCTCAGGCAGTGCCCTCCCTGACCAGGTCCTGCAGCATCTGCATGAAGCAGGCAGGGCTGTCAACAGTCCCAGGTGCAGCAAACAGTGAAAAAGACCTGGGATCCATCCTGGTGATTGAGCTGGGGGCAGAAGGAGAAAAGGGCAGAGAAAGGAATGAGAGCTACAGGAAAGGCTACAACATAGGTCCAAAGTCTGTGCAGAAGAGGGGGCAGAGAGAGAGCTAGAGAAAGGTGCACATACGATGTATCTCAGGCGTGATCTGACTGGGACATCCTCTGCCCATGGGAGCTGGGGGTTCCAGCTGAGTCCAAGCAAGGCAAGTTAGATCTGTACACTCATACACTGATACACTGGAGTTAAGTGGAGAGGCTGCCTTCATGAACTTTGGGTCAGATGTGGATGGCACCAGGAGAGTCCATTGTACAAAGGAGGGCAGTTGAGTGAGAGTGATGTAGGCAAGGGGTAGGAGGGCTAAAATGCTTAAATAGTGGTGCAATTTTTTGGGTGGTGTAATCAGATCACAAGTGTAGCAACCAAGCTTTTATCTATCTAGTGTACTGAATAATTTGGAAAGGGGAAAGAATAAAGGAATCCCTGAAAAGAAGTTACGTACAACAAGGGTAACATATATGAATATTATAACTCCATTAATTTTATAAAATTCTAATTATTTCATAATATCAACATGAAGTACAGCTCTCTGTTAAATTCATGGGAATAATCAGCTTGAAAGCAACATATTAGGTTTTTTCCAGCTTTTCAATATTTAATTGTTTTGCCTTAAAAACTACAGTAGTGCAAAACTGACCTTCTGAACAGCCCTGTGTGTGAGAGGAGAGGGACAGCACCATGTCACCCCTGGGGATTCCTGAGACATCTCAAAGGAAGGTACAGTAAAGGGAAACTACTTATGTATATACTCAGCTGGAGGCCTCTGCTCATTAATACACCCAAAGGCACAAGTGTGCACTGCCAGATCTCGAGGGTCTGTACTCTATCAGATGCATTTTGATGGCTTCAATTAGCCATTAGCAAATGCTTCATCACAATCCCAAGAAGAACGTTTTTAAAAAAAGGAAAATATAACTGAGATAAAATACTAAAGCACTCTGTGAATGACAGAGCTGTATCTGAAATTTAACATCACTTGGCTTCTGGTTATGGCAAGTGTGATTAGCTGCTTTCCAGTCCAATTAATACAATACTGGTTTTTCTTTTAACTGGGAAAAAGGAGAAAATAAATTAGGTTTAGAAAGCTGTCAAAAAGCATATCTGATTTTCACAATAAATTGCAAGTAAATTTGCCTGTAAAGATCACTTTGAACTTCACGTGTGCCACCTGCTGTGGAGCTGCTTAAAGCTCTCTTGGACATAAATGGCAAAGATTTGGGGGAATCGCTGTCCTAGTTTTTTTTTCTTCACTGGTTACAAATCCCTCCTTGAAGATATCTAAAGCATGGATGGAAAGAAATAAAAAACACTGAAATGAGCTATTTAATTTGTTTGTTCTTTTACCTAAACTTATAGAGAATATATATATTCCTTGTTTGTGATTTTTCATCTCTTGATTTCAGAATATTTACAAAGAATAAAAATATTATTAAAAAAAAAAAGCAAAGAATGGGGAAATTATTTTTTCAAGCAAGAGGTCAGTGATAGAGACAGAGCCAAGGTCACAAGGACTCCAGTCTCATTGCCCCTTTATCATCCATGCTGCATTTTTCTCTCCTCATTTCTGTGTGCTTAAACCTGTATCCTGAATACTTCTGCATGTGACAGTGATCAGTCCTTTTCAAGGGGTGCATTCATGTGCTTTATGTTAATCTGAAGGTCCTCTTTGTTTCAGTCTTGGTGCAGGAGATGAAAACCACGGAGCCCTGTTCTGTACCCATACTGTGTAAGTGGTCAAGTGAAAATAACACCTCTAAGCAATATAAAATCTAAAGCCTAGATACAAACTTTAGATTTTCAATTGCAGGCAAATCATACAAAAAAAAACCCCAAACCTCAATCTCTGTTACTTCTACTGAGATTATTTACATAATTTTGGATGCACTCAGAGACATCACTGAAACTGGGCCATAAGCTCCAATACAAAGTATGTTGGTGTAGTTCATTTTATATCTACTTCAGCTCACTTTAGATGAGCTAATTTTTTTACCCAAATAATTATTTTTTTTCTGCAGAAAACCCAGGCACAAATTACTTGAATATTAAGTATCATTATTTCTTCTATTAATTTAGTATTTGTTCCATCATATGACAGCATTCAGTAAGCATCACATTAGGGAACAGGATAGATTTTAGGTGAAAGGATTTCTTTTATTTTACTTAACCAAGGTGACAAATGTAAGAACTGTTCAGCTAATTTTAGGAGGCATAAATATTTGGAGTGTATAAAGGTAATAAAGCTGAAGCATATATGTAGTTTTGAGCTGTTATTTACTGAGAATATTTGTTTGGAATGTGCAAACAAACAACAAAATCACTTAATAGTAAATGAGCTATAAAAAATCATGTTGTTAATGTCAGTAATATGAGCAGCTGAGGACTAAACAAAATAGGTTGGAAATATTATAATATTGCGAGAAAATTATATTTCTTATAAACTGCTCTTTGTAGCATATAATAATGATTCTGTACAATCAAATGAATATTGCATTTCCCACTCTATGGCACAGAAATTAAGCTGAGTAGGTAATATTTTCCTTCATACATTTTAAATTCTTACTGAGTCTCCGTGAATCATTAAATAAAGACAATAAAATTTTCTGTTTTGATAAAGATTTCTACTGTAATACTAGGACATGTTAACCTCCTGAACCACTCTACTGCTTTGAAATAGATTTATACCCACCAGAAAGTGCTTCTTTTAATGGCCACTGTATAGGGAATTCAATCCACCTGTCTCCATTAGGAGAAAGAGGAAGTGTTTTATTTATGGTGAGACTAAAGGTATCCAGGGTTGATGTGTTCTGTATTTTCAAGTGACAAAGAGACAGCCGCGATACATTGTTTTCCAAACTCTGGAGACCAAGTCTCACTTTATAAAGCATTCCCAAATCGGATGGCAAATGTATCTAGGGATCAACAAAACAATGAGTTAGCATCCAAACAGAGGAATACTGATAAATGCATAGGTAGTTTAAAGGAAGAGAGGAAGCTGACTCTGAAGGAATCAGCACAGCCCTGCACCTATTTACACCAGTCTTGGTGCTAAAAGTCCCACTTCAAAAGCAGCAGAACCAAATTGACTGTAGGCACTTAAGGACATTTTAGCTTTATCCTCTAGGGGCATTCATTGTAATTGTTCTATCAAATTCAAATTACATACGACAATGATTTCTAATGTGAATAAGTAATGTTAATGTCATTTAAAATGATATACATTATTAACTATGACTATTTGTTGGGGAAAAAATAATATGCTTGATCATCATCAACTTGAGAAAGCCAGAAATTAAAAAAGAAATCAGGCATGCAACTGAAAACTTCAGCTCTGATTTTCTTAAATATTTAAATAATAATATGTCAAATATTTACAGCACTGCTTGATTATTTCTCTTTAAAGGGAAACTCAAGAAAAATTTAAATATAGGCAAATCTATATTTTTTTTACATCATATGTTATTTGGTTCTCAGTTTGATGCTCCACTTTGTTTTCCATGGAAACTGGATTTGACTTGCCGTTGCTTCCATAAAAAACCATAACCATCTTGGATATATTTTCTGACAACTTTTCAAATTCTGATTTTGTTTCTTCCTGATGCTTTTTGAAATAAATCCTCCATTTGCCTTCTGAACAAATAAAATAAGGAAAATAAAAAGGGAAAAACATTAAGGATGTTTCTGTTTTCATATATTAACAAAGCTATCTGACATAAAATTTCTAAGACATGCTTTGTTCTACATGGGGAACATTATTTTATAAGCATGGCACCTGGATATTGAGCAGCTCCCCAAGTTTATTGACATTTTTTACTTAGAAAGGAAGAAACTATTGTCAATACTAGTAAGCATAATGACATACTATGATGAAAATATTCTCATATCATTATTTCAGAACTGATTAATAAAACAGCCAATGTAATGACAGAAGCTATACCTGAATTCATTTGCTGTCTTCCTAAAGGCCAGGCAGATGTACTCCTCCTCTCCTGAACTTCTAATTTTGAAAAAAAGGTCAAATTAATATTTTTGTTGAACAGTGTCTCTGTGATAATAAAGGCCTGTATTCCTGTCTAGTGAGGCAATTGACTGAGCATTATATCATTTAGATTAAAGATTTAACTAGGAAATGTACAGTGTGATTTTCTATTTAATCTAAATATCATCCCATTACATAAACTGTCTCTAGGGCTGGCTCTTTACTAGGAAAATGGTAGTAACATGAAGATTCAAATATTTTTTATTTTAAAGCATTTCTGTTTCATTTGTACAATTTATGCTCTGGATGAATGAGCACTAATTGGATGTCTTTAATGCCCCTTCTAGAGGCTGGTGTTCCTCCCACAGATAATAGTCCCCATTGATTTCATCAGGATTTGGTATAGATCAAAGCTGCTTGTAAACACTAGGTAGTGACCTGAACTGAAAACAAGACTTCTTTTGAGTTCATAACCAAGATTGGATTTGCCAATTATTGTATTAAGAAACTCACAGGAACATTTGTCCAAATCAATGAAGTCTAGTAGAAACAGAACTAAATATTCCTTTTTTTTTTTAGAGAAGTCCCACATACAAACTAAATTAAAGCTGAAATTATTTGCTTTTGCACACTAACAGTTTCCTCCTTTACTTTCTGTTTTCAAATGATCAGAAGCTAGAGATCATACAGCAGAGGAAATTGATTGAACTAGGATCGTCTTCAGCCTCCAGAGGCTATTGCTGGACAAGTGCCAGGAAATCTCAGGGAGTTAGGAAGAAAAAAAAAGAAAACTAGAACATGTTTTGTAATCCAAGGACTCATCTCAGTCAATTAACTTCTCTGAGAGGCAGGAGAATAAATACATCTGTCTTAGAGATACACTCAGGCTTTGGTGCCTACTGATCTGGTTGCAGGGTGTTGCAGTTTCCCCCAGGGTGCACACCAGATTGTACTGAAATCCATGCTTGGATTGAAACCATGGCAGAGGGAGGGAGGAAGGGAGGGAGGCTGTACATTCCCTTCCTGTCGTGACAAAGAGCCACAGGCAGTGGGGTCAACATTGCTCCTCTGCGGCCTGATTACTCACATGGTGTCAGTCAAAAGTACCTCCAATTTCTGGCAAAAGCTGTCCAAACAGTGTAGCATAAATAATGGAAATTAGTCATCTTGAATACAATGGAGACATTTTCACCACTGCTTAAGCAGAGTTTTCCCCACTTTTTTACCTCGTTTTCACTCTGACTAGCAAGTAATTGTTATTACAAGCTTAAAAAAATATTTTGCAAGTGTAGAAGTAAGATTTGGAGAGGAAGGAATTTGTAAAAAGGAATAGGACAAATTTGTTGGCATTTACACCACTGAAAATCTGGAGTAAGAAAGCAGATATTATCCCTCTGGCAAATAGTGGTTATTAAGTGGTACTAAAACACAAAGTGTTCAGACACACTAATTCCCTGTATAATGACAATGTTCTTCTGGAATATTTTAAATCACAATTTCTTTGTAGAAGCAAATCATATAGCTGCATTCTCCAGTTTGGAATGAATTTCTTAGTGGATGATAGTTTGAAGATAGTGTTGACCTGTGGCATCCAGCGTTACTGAGGCAGATCTTTTTCCATCACGTCTGTCTTTAAGCCATGTTTGAGCCATAAACAATGTTTCTGTCCCTGAAGATGCTGACTCTTTCACAATAATCTTCTCCAGAAGCCAGTCAGAGCCTCTCCCTTTTTCAACAACCATCCTTTGCAGAATACCAATATCTACTGCCTCCACTTGAAAAATATCCACCTGAAAAATTCAGAATCAGAAGTCAAATGGGAACAGAACCATGTAACTAAATTATCAGTGTATTTTGAGGCATGAACATTAGAAGAAATTTTTTTATTAAATTCAATCAATACCAACAGAACCAGAGATGAAATGTTTAAACATGCTAAATGCCAACATTAAGAAGTATCTACTCCCTTTGTGGTTCTGCAATTTACAGCTAAACTACCTCTTTGCCCACACAGTTGCTTATCCTCACTTCATGAGAAATTTTCTTTCCCAAAATTGATGTTCAATGATCTACAGGGAATATATTTTAAACATATCTTACTCTCAACAAAATAAACCCCAAGGGTTATTTCAGGAATGAAATACAGGGAATGGGAAGGGTAGAAATGAACATCACAAAAAGAATCTCTTAGGAAAGAATGACAAACTTGGTTCCAGATTTGGAATACCTTGTAGGATTAGTTTCAATATAAGTAATTGAATTTAAGGAAAAATATTAAATAAAAGTATGTTGAAATAAGTTCTGCTGTTCTCTCTCAGTTAAAAAAGCCACAATATTTTTACAACGTTTAGAACACTGATGTAAGATTCCTAAAGGAAATTGTGATATATCAGACATTCAATGCTTTCACAATATGTGATTTTGGCTTTTTGTGAGTGTTACACTTATTTCCTGTTTCCTTGATGGAAAAACAGATATCAAATTCTTGGCACAGACACTTTCCACATTTTTTGCTTTATAGATTTATGAATTATCATCTCATTTCTACTGGGGTTGATAACTGTTAAAATCTAGTGCTATTTGTGATGGAATTTCCAGCATGACTTAAAGATGCAAAGATGGTTTTGAGGGGACTAGGTAGCAATAATGATGAAAACACTTGAGTCATGAGAAGTCTTGAAGTCTTCCCGACGTAATTTGCACTGAAGTTTCTCTGCCAAAGCAAGAGGGCAGCAACCCTTAAAGGCTTATGCAGAGATGAAACAGAGAATAGCAGTTCTCTTGCTCCACCAATCACAGTTTCTTTCCTGGACAGTTTTTCCAGCTGAAGAACTGATGAAAGATTTGTGTCACAAAGATGAGCCTAACCAGCTTGCACCTTAATAAGACACAGCATAAGCTCAACTATTGAGCTTTAAATTGCAGATAATATATGACCATCTGCTTTAAAAAGAATCCACAGAAACAGAAAAAAAAAATAAGTTTGTTCTTCAACTTTCATTTCTTGTTTTTCATTAATATCTGCACAGGTGAATTTGAAAGTGTGTGTGTTTGTGAACCACACTATTAACAGTGTCCTAAAAATAATAATCAACCTGTTACTGATTATTCTATAACTTCTAGAGAGAAAGGTCATATTAGTCAAAACTGCTCCAATGTACCACCTTATCATCACATCTGCATTATCACTCATAAGTTACCATAGAAAATGGGAAAATGAGACAATGATATTAAGGAAAAAAATCATCTGAAAGAGGACTTAAATAGCTGTACTTCCTCTCTAGGAGTCAAGGTTATCAGTGGCTTAGTGAATTTAACAGCAGAGCAAATACATTGGAATGGCTGAAATTCTAGATGGAGAGCAGAATTGCAGGAAGAGAGGCTCTTCTTAATGTTTTCCTTAGCTAAATCAAAAATATTGAGGTTTAGTGTCAACACAACCATTTTATTTTATTACCTATTGGATTAATTTGATGATTGAATGCCATTAATTTGAACTCTTAATTTACCTTAATTGTGATATTAATTTGATCACTCCTTTATTCCAGCTTTAATTGGATTGGTAAAGTTATACCATCATGCCTGAATAAAATGAATTTGTTACACTTATTAAATAAAATGTATTTAAAATACACATAGTTAGGAGATGACTGAAAAGCACAGACTGAAGTAAGAAAAATACAGACCTCTGTGTCCGTCAATAATAAATTATTCTAAGTTCACAAAATGGGAAAATTTATCCTAAAATTGCTGCTAGTTCTTGCAAATGATTATGCTTATATTAATGCATGATTGTTAAGGTTTTACCCCAGGCAGTATCCAAGCCCCACAGAACTGCTCACTCAGCCCCTCACCAGCAAGATCAAGGAGAGAATGAGAATGGTGAAAGCTAGAAAATTCATGGGTTGAGATAAAGTTTAATAGAGAAAGCAACAGCCATACACACAAGGAGGGCAAAACAAGGAATTAATTCAGTGCTTCCCATGGGCAGGCAGGTGTTCAGCCATCCACAGGAGAGCAGGGCTCCAGCACTCGTAGCAGTGACGTGGGAAGACAAACACCACCACTCCAAATGTCTCTTTTCCTCCTTCCTCCCCCAGCTTTACATACTGAACATGATTCCACATAGTCTGGAATCCTTTTGGTCAGCTGGGGTCACCTGTCCTGGCTGTGTCTCCTCCCACCCTCCCATGCACCCCCAGCCCCCTCACCAGCATGGCAGCACAAAAAGCAGAGAAGGCCTTGGCTCTGTGTGAGCCCTGCTGAGCAACAACAAAAACAGCTCTGAATTATCAACCCTGTGTTCAGCACAAACCAAAAATAGAGCCTCATGCCAGCCACTAGGAAGAGAATTAATTCTATCCCGGCTGAAACATGCACAATTATATTATTGCAAACACATGAGAAAGCTCTTGTCAGGTACTTGTTAGAATAATTTCTTTTTAAGTGAAAAGAGTTTTCCAGAAAATAACTAATTCCTGATTCCTAAACCTAATTTAGTGGCATGATCATCAGCATCTCCAAAAAAATCTGTTGTCAGTGATCCACCCTTGGAAAGGAGATTTAGGAATATAGGAAAACTACAGACAATATTCTTCTGGGTTCTAGACTTGTGCTGTCTCCAGAAGGATAGTTGGGTCTGACTTGCACCAAGTTTTATGGTTAACAAACTCTCAGTATGTATTAACTTAATTAAGTTAATGACTTAATAAATCAGGGGTGGCATGTGCTATGGGTTATCTATGACCTGGAGGATCCAGCCACAGATAAAAGCAAGTTAGTATATATAGTTAACACACAAAAGGTTTTCCAATTCCTTTTTCCTGTGAAAATAAGTATATTTTGATGGAATAAACATTTGTGAAAAAAAAAATTGATGTTTGGTTTGTGTAAGACACACTACTTTATTATTTGTCAATGTGCCATTTTAACGAGCTCACTTTAGAGAATCCAAAATCTCAGAAATCCATGGTCAAATCTGCAGACTATTCAAACATCTAATAAACTGCAAGTTAAGGGACTATTAAATAGACTAGAAATTGTGTCATCTGGGGTAAACTCACTTCACAGACAAGATTACATTCTCTCTTTATGTGTATATTTGAAAATCTACACAGTGTAATGAGCTTTATTGGAGTCAAGAGACCAAAAAAGAATAGAGAAAGAGCAGCAAGTATAATGGTTAGAGCTAAAAACAATTGGCTAGAGATAATTTATTTGCTAAATTTAATTCACTTTTCTCCTCTCAAGATCTCTGCAAACAGAGAGATTATGACATATATTTCATTCTAATTTCATGAAATTCAATTATTATTAAAATTTAGCTAATATTTTTGTAGATTCATCTAAAACCATGGATTAGACAAAATTTTCTTAATACTCAAGCTGTTGACAGGTCTTGTATGTTACAAGATACTCTATCTTTTATTTGACTTACAAAAGGGGACCTTCTAAATTACTAGAGGGTTAATTCTTCTGCAAAAAGAGAAAGAGGGAGGAAGGAAATACAGAGAAGGTAAGCAAACCTATAGAATATGAAATTTATCTTTATAATTTTCCTCTAGGAAAAAAAGTGTTAATTGTTTTTCAGTCACTACTAGCAAATTAGGTTTGAACGGAGAAAAGTCATCTTAAATAATGATAATAATACATACTGTCTAATTCAACAGAGCTTATATTGAATTTTCTCAGAATAACATTAAAGCAATTTGTATGTATGTACAGCCCACTAAATTTTCTTAATTAACATTGCCTGGAGAAAGAAAGATATTTTCCCAGTCTGAGCACCTAAGAGTGACAACAGTAGAGCCATATATCCTCTGTGACCCAGAAGAGCTGCCCTAGCAAAACCAGAATCAATACTTTTCATACCTCTTGTCCAAGAAAATAAGGACTAAAAAATTCCTTTATAACAATAATTCCAGCAATCCTTTCAGAATATTTGAAGTTTGGGTTTTTTCTTAACTATTTTTCAGATTTTCTTCAAATGTTTCTTTATTTTCCTGAGAGCCATGCATTTTGAGCCTTTTCTTTGAATCTATGACCCACTTTATTATGACTTTATTCAGTACTCTTCTGTGTCAGTGCTGGCAACATATCACTGTCTGCAGCAGCTGCAATAGCTCTTGTAACAGAAGAAGCATTTGAACAGTCACTGTGCAATATTTACCTTTAGAAATGCCAATCATTTTACAGGCTTGGTATTGAGACTTGATGGTTGGTTAATGACGATATTCCCAGAAGAACTGAAATTGGCAAGTCAAGACACACCATATGCTTCATTTCATCAACCTGTATGTACAAGTGATTTCCCATACTGCTAATGTTAGTATCATTTTAATAGGCTTTTATTGGAAAAGGAGTCAGAGTGTCTAGATAAAGGACCTTTTCTATTAAGCTTAGCAAACCTATTGATTTGCTGCCTGATTATTTTGATCTCACTTGTTAATCTGGAGAAACTCCACTGAAAACAAAGGAGTTTTAACAGAGGCAGGCAAAATAAAGGTGGCCCCTGTAACACTGAGCACAATCAGAAACAGTGTGCGAACATTCCTGGAAATGAAGAAAAAAAATTACTTTTTCCCTTTATGAGCTCTTCCAGTTGTGCTGAACAGAACCTCTTCACCCTGTCCCAGATGCTTGTCACATCACTACCTTCTCCTAGATGGATGCAATCACTTTTTTAGTTGTGCCAGGGTAACCACAAAAGCAGCACCACAAATATTTTACCAAGATAGACCATGGGTGAAAAAGCCCAAATCACTAATGATATTAACTGTTCTAACTAAAT